TCCCTGTGCCATTCCACATTATTACAAATAACTTCATTTCTGGACATTTATGGTTTGATTTCTTTGTATGTATGGATCACTTGGGTTGTTACCGACATGTGAAAATTTCATGTCATTAGCACCTCTAGTAATATATTTACTGAGAAAAATGGTGACGTGTTCAATACTTATTTTACCTGCTGTATTTAACATGTTCTGTCATAAAATAAAATAAAAATATTCTAACATTTATTTTTCACAATGCAAATAAATGTACAGATTAGCATAATGATGAAAAGCATTCTGCATGTACCTTGAGGTTATAGGTGCGCAGCTCGTAGATGTTTGGTCCTCGTCGGGGTTGAGGTTCGTTCCAGAAACTGAACTCCAGAAGAAGCTGGTTTTTTCTTGATAACAACATTTTTGCCCTCTCTTTCCGAAACTCCAAATACTCCTGAAAGGTTAGGAAGTTTGATGAATTAAAAACAAAAAAAAACTTCAAGCAAATTTACCGCAAACTATAAAATGAGGATAGGATAAAACACAAACTCAACACATAAGGTTTGTCCCCAGAGTTTGAATGTATTTCTCTGAAGCACACGCCTTTACGTAAAAAAGGTTTTTTAAAGGATCTGCAGCTGTCTTATAAGAAATGTTTGTAAAAACTGTGCCAGAAACCTTGCTGGCTCTCAGTTTCTGCAGGCACTCAGTCAGAGCTGGATAACCTCCTCTGTACCTCCACAGATGCACTGAGGGGAAAGAACAGCAGATGTCACTGCAGCACTTTACAGAAACACACCACCCACACAACCAAGAGCTTCCAGAACCCTCAACGTAACTCTAATGTATCTATAAACTGTAAATTATTACATGCAGAAGGAGGAATGTTGCTTGTGAATCACCATTAAATGCACACTGATCTAATTCTCTTCACAAACTAAAGTTAAAACGAAGTCACTTTAAACAATAAAAGCATTATGGACACAGAACTGATTCTGCTCCTGTTGAATGGGTCAAAGGTCACAGTTTTAATGTTTCTGTTTATGGTTTAACTGCTGCTTACCAGCTTGATCCTGCTCTCCATACCAGGTATTCCAGCTTCCAACCACTTCACATGGATAATCCAGGTCCTGATGGAGCCTGCTTTGCACTTCAGCCCTGAAGGCAGCATAAAATAAACGACTTAAAAACACACAATTCCAAACATAATCAGTAAAGGTGCTTGCACTTCCAAAACATCCTGTTATTTCAGCACAATTACAACTAGAATAAAAACTTTAATCTACCTTCACCGCACACTCAGATGTTTTAGCATCATGTCAGCTAAATGCTCTGGTGATGCTTTTATTCTGAAAAATGCAATTTTAGGACGTCATGTAATTCTGTTAATAAGTGAGATTCTCAAAGAAAATCTCCATTTATTTTCCTAAAGGCTTAAAATACAATATTTTACAATATTATTCAACTTGAACGCCTTAATCAGACTTGTTCTTCTTCTTTTTTTTTTGAGTTTACTAAGACAAGAAGATCTGAATCAGTTTGTTACTGCTGCCAGCTACAAGTCTTTCTGATTGTTTGGAGGATTTCTGCCCATTTTTCACTTCAGCTAAAACAGGAACCACAATTGAACAAAACCAGACGATTGTTTCGGGAATCTAACAGAATAGTTTTTTTCCTCCACGACAGAATTAATTTTTGTGCGACTTAAAACTAAATCAGACTTAAAAAAAAAAAACAAGATTCACCTAAAGGACAGATATTTTTCATAAAATGTGTTTCCTTGTTTTAAATTACAAATATTTGAGGCTAAATTTTAAAGAGGCAGTCAGTTTATTGCTCATTTTTAATGAAGGTTGTATTTGTGTCATTAAAGCTACAGAGCAGAAAAGCTCCACTTCTTCAGTCTGCTGAATCTGTAAGAGATTTGTCTGTTTGACAATCGGACCAGAGTTCCTCCTCTTTTCCTCCACTCATTTATCTAACTTTAACTTCCCATTTACATTATTAAATAAATAAAGACTAATTAAAAACTTGGGTTTTTAATACCCTTTTCTTAGCCTGGCGAAAACCAGCCCCTCGTTCTTTACTAGTTCGAATAGAGAGTCTGGACTTTTGGATGTTGAGAATCAATTTCTTGCTGGAGGCGTGGCCTCTGCTGAAGTTTAAAATGATTGGCTCTGATTTACCCAATGACTAATAGAGATGGGATAAATGGCTCTCAGAAGGGATCCGGATCTTGTTTCATAGAGCCTTTCAAAAGAACCGTTCGATTTTGAATGTATTACATCATCACGTAGCCGTACGTAATGACGTAATCCCGTCACGTGGGTGGAACCATGTGTTTGTCAAGCAGAGACCCCCCTCCCCCTTTCACCGTGAGCTTCTGTACTCCACCTCTCTGCCTGTTTTCCGTGAAAAAGCAAAGCAGGAGCGATTTAAGTATGAAAAAAAATAATATGAGGAATAAAATAAATAAAATTACAAATGGCTCGTCACTGCCCGCGATTCGGCTCCTATCATTCGTTGGAAAGAGCCGTTCAAAAGATTCGGATCGTTCACGAACGTCACATGACTAATCACTAACGTTTGGCCATGATATATGTAGTGAGCCAGCTCGAACATGAAGGAGGCTAAGCTAAGAAGCTAAACGGAAATCGCATGCGCTGTAAACAACCCTGCTGAGAGGAGAGGAGGACGGAGCTGAACCAGACGAGTGTAAATGAGAGCTGCTGCTTTGTGAGACAACTTTAATTTAGTTTGGAAGCCTTATCAACACGGACTGACTTCATTCACTTCCTCCACTGCCATTGCTAAACTACAGACAGACTAAATCGGCGCAGAAAATTAACGCCGTTGTTCAGAACTCCTCCTTCTGTTCACTGATTGGTCCGGTTGAAATTCTACCGGAGAAGTCCTTCTCTATGGGAGAAATCCAGACAGAGCAGAGAAGGGAAACTACCCTTTCCATGCTTTGTCAACATAAATTATTTTATCCTTCTAAGAGATTCGATTTTGTTTTTTACTTTGTGAATATTTTTGACTGGTCTTCATGACAATGCAACACCCCTCCTCCTTTTTTTGCTTTTGCATCAAAAGGTTCCCAAAGCTTTCTATAACAATAAATGGTGACTTACGCAAAAACACCAAAACATTTGCATTGGATTTACTTAAATAATTTATGTCAACAGGTTCTACTCAATTAAATCAAGTAAATCTAAAGCAATTCTTTTCATTTACTTTATAAGTGAATGTGAAATAATTGTGTTAGATTTACGCAATTCAGTTGAGTAGAAACTGTTGGCATAATTTATTTAAGTAAATCCAATGCAAATGTTTTGATTTTTTTGAGTGAAAGGTTTATAAGAAAGAAACCCTAAATGAGACAAGCACAGTTAATTAAAAACTGCAGGTGAAACTCGTGAAAGAAAGCAGAAAACAGATTTACTCCAGGCTGTTGTATGCATCCAGGCACTCCGGTTTGACGTTGTGAACTAAAAAAAGAAGCAGAAAGAGAGAAATGAGCTTTTTTATTTCTTTTAAAGCACAAAACCAAAACCTTCAACAAAGTAATTTCACACCCCGATTCAGCAAAGACTTCACACAAAAACTGATTCACTCGCACAAAGGTTGTAGGCTATGGCTGATGGAATGCTCCAAATTGAAATCTCTGCATGGCGTGATGTACACCGCATAAAAGATCAAAGTGTGTGGAGAAAGGTAGACTTCTTGTTCAGAGGCAGACACAGTTATCACATCGGACTCAAAAGAAAACCAGACAACTTGTTCTGATGTCAGAAAATGTCACAGAGTTCATAACATTGGCTGGCTTGCATTGCATGAATAATGAAAGTCAGTTTTCTCTAAGGTCACTGCTGTCAGTGTGGACTAAATTTAATGAACACGACTCATTAAGCTGCTTTATGCAGGGAGAAACAGCAACTAAACGGTGACGACCAAACAGAAATTCTTACTTTGTATTAATCTAATCTTTCAACCTTTATGCCAGTAAAAACTCACACTGAATTTTGTACAGGTTGCTGGTCTCCTTCTTTGACAGCAGGTTGGAGTGAGCGTCTTTCCTGGCTTCGACTTTGTGCACAAATAAGGATCTGAACCAGCCGTTGTCGCCGCTTTCTGAAAACCTCCTACACAGAGACCAGATGAAAGAAAAGAAAACAACGACTCAAAGCAAACCCATTAGTCGTTGGTATACATTTTGAAGATGTTATCGTGTCCATTCGGATGATTTATGATTCTAAAAAACAATCATGCTGATATCCTTTGATGTGAGAAAATACGCAGACTGTTTGAGTGAGTGGGCTGAGTGCACCAGTGGGGGGACGTCACTGTAAAACTTCAGTTCACCCACTGTGCAGCAAATATTAGGGAAATATCTCAAACTGGAAGAAAAACAGTAGAACTCTGAGAAACTTGGTTTGAATTGTGAACATTAGCAAATCAAATAGTCTCAGAAATATCATAAACGTCAATCTAGTAAGTAAGTAAGTAAGTTAGTAAGTAAGTTAGTAAGTAAGTTAGTAAGTAAGTAAGTGAAGTTTTATTTATTTAGCGCCTTTCACAGAAATAAATTCACAAGGTGCTGTACATTCAGGGAAAGGGGGAGGGGGCATTTAAGAAACACCCATTCAAGAAGACATACAAGGCAAACATGGGGGAACAGGTGAAACCGGTCATGCTGCAAACACAGTTGCTCTACCTTTAACAACAGAAAAACTAAAAACCACACAAGGGAAGATGAGGGAAAAAATATGTCAACTTTAAGCTGTATTTTTAAGGGAAAATATATTTTACATACATATTGCCATCTGCCTTTTATGCCAAGATTTTAAATTAAATTTGTCTTGTGTTGATAGAGTTGTAGAAATTTTACTTACACCTTAAAATAACAAAATGCACAACCTCATTTGGTCTCTTCTGTAACATTCACTGATGTATAGTTATGTTTATGAAGTTCAAGGTTAATTAGTTGTCTACACCACAATCAAGTAATATTAATAATGCATTATGTAGCACATTTCGAAACCTTCAATGATGTTTTACAATTTCAGGCATCAAAAGTAACTTTGTCACTTCAGTTGTTAGGAAAATGTATATATAGCAAAAATAAATTTGCTTTGAAATTGGCCTCTGCCTTTTTGAGAACCTCCTACCGTTTCAGACACTCCCACGTCAGCACGTTTTCATAACAATGCTTAGGGGGAGGGGTGCTCTGTGGAGCGGGGGCTCAGCTGCAAACTGAGCTCCAGAGAGGAACTTTGTTCATATAGGCAGAGCCGTGTAAAAACAGGCGGAGCTTTGTACCAGCAAGCGTTTAGGCAGCTGGACATGGCTACCACAGGAGATTCAAGGCTTTCTCAGTCGAAGCAACAGGAATTGGAAATGAATTACATTATAACACAATGTAAAGCTCAAAAACGTTGATTTTGTGTAATGCCACCTTTAAAAATCAGATGCAGCCAATGATTACTTTACTTAAGTGTTTCATTAAAATTCATCCAGCGGCTCATGAGATATTTTGCTAACAGCAAACACAGCTGACTTCAAAGTTTAAATAAAGGATATGGTTTGACCAGTAAGTGTTTAAAGTGTTAGGAATAACTCTCAGCTATCACCACTTTACATTTTAGCACAATATTTATAAAATTAGCAAGTTTTTGATAAAGATGTGTAGCTGTAGCTGTCAAACATTGTGAAAAGGGTTGACTCTAAAATGAATCTGTTGTTGCACGTCCAGTCACAACTTTCTAAAAGTTTTATTAAAATTTATCCATTGGCCCATGGGATTTTGTGCTAACACAGACAAATAAACAGGCAAAAAAAAAACAATTGCCACTTTTTGTTCATTAGCCGGTTATAACTAGCAAAATACACAAAAGAAACTTTGATGTTAGCTTTTCACAAGTGACATACTGTATAATAGCAAAAATACAGATAATAAAAACAAAATTTGTCAATAAAAACAAAGGATTGCTGTAACTGCTGACAAAAGTGTGAGAATTCACATCTAAAGTGGAAGAGAGCCGCCTCGCTCGGCCAGACATCAGATTCTGAGACTTCCGTTGCTTTTTATAAACTCAGAATTTTAATTCCCTCTAAAGCTGCTTCAATTAACCTCAATTTCCGGATTTTGCAGAAGATGTTAAGTGTCACACAGCCAGCATAGTCGCTGTATCCCCCACTTTTATGGATTACGAAGCGCCAGTGTCCTATTTTGTGCTTTGAAAGCCATCTGTTATTTCCCAACACTTTCAGAGGCTTTACGTGTTCTAAAAATCCTCAAACTTTCAAGGTCAGTGAAACTCCTCTGTTTTATAATAACATCATGGGCCACTGGCTTTAATTAGAATCTGTGATTAATCCTGAATTTCCCACAGCACTCTGTTTAAAAAAAAAACAGTATAATTAGTCAAAAACTTGTTTTTGAATAATAGAGTCAATGAGGGAAGCCAGTGCAGTCAGAGGCCCTAAATGTTGTGTAAATGTTACAGTGCAAGGTTCAGAGGTCTGGCAAATGATTAAATCAGGTCTTATATAACATTAAATTTATCTTTTTAACAACATATACACTTAATGAAGAAGTTAGAAAGATTTATTTAAAAATGTGCTCATGAAACAAAACACTTTTACATAATTAACTAAAAACTGCAAAAAAACATGATCTAAATCCAATTTTATTGTGATTTTACATTATTTTAACTAATGCTTGATAAATGTAAAAGTCTGTTATGCATCAGAATTTAAGTTCAGTTACATTTGCTTGCTTTATTTCTCCTCAAGATCCAAGTTTGATCAGCTGATATCAACGACAGCTTCCATGTCATTCAGTGTTTTCAGGTTTTTGTAACAGAAACTGATTTTTTTTTTTTTACCTGGAGCTTTGCAGAACTAGTCCCAGACTCCTCACAGAACGTCCTGCCATGTTCTTCGTTCGGTAAACTAAAGCAGGTTGTTTGTCATGCAGGCTTTACCTGCCGGTTAATGTTCAGCCTTCACTCCCGTGATGTAATCTGACAGGTAATCATATGGTCTAAAGAAGCACGTGACCGAGTGACGCAACGAGCCAACGTGCAGAATCGATCAGGTTTGAGTGACTGATTGTTCCTGTCGGTGACAGTCCGGCACAGTGGCTGAAGCAAACATGATGTAGATGATTTACTTTAGTCATCAGGAGTGGGTTCTTCTAGTTTATGTTTGACATGGATGGCTGACAGAAGGAACAAGATTTTTGTTATTTCAGCAAAATATGAGATTTTTTTAATAACAAAAAGTCAAAAACCAGTCAGTTTGAAAAGAACACAAATCTTTATTATTATTATTATTATTATTATTATTATTATTATTATTATTATTATTATTATTAATTGAGGGTACATGAGCCCAACTCTGCAACAAATGCATTGAAGAGACAGTGAAAGTAGTGCTTCTAGATTCTTCCTTAAAATTTCTATTACAGTATGACTTATTGTGCAACTTGTTATAAACAAAGAAAATACCAAAATAATTAAATAACCAGAAAGACACAAATCCTGACAAAACAGTCCTGTTTTGTCCCATTTTCTCTTCTTTTTCCTTTTAAAAATCTTTACCTTCAGTTAAATATAACAAGTTAACTTTAACTGACGCATAAAAGTTGTTTATTTCCATTTTGTTTTTTAAAAGGTGACCTTCTTTATTTGTTACATATTTAACTCAATTTAAAATGTTTTCTAAATGAAATGCAGTGAAATGAATATAGATAAAACATTTTTAAATAAAGCTTTTGTAAACGTTTAGTCGGTACAATAATACGTTAAATTAGACAAATGCAGACCTCTAAATACATCTGCTCTCAAGCTTAGTTTGGGCTGACAAACACAGCTTTGTGGGGACCCAATGCTCCTCATGGGGACTAAAGTCATGGGTATGATTATCATTCTTGTGTGGGAGATTAGGTTTAGAATAAAGGGTCAGGATTAGATTATAAAAGTGACTGGAAAATGAATGGAAGTCAATACAACGTCCCCACAAAGATAGAAAAAACAATGTGTACACATTCTTGTGTTTGTAACCTTTTTAGGACCATTTCTGGTATATACACCTACTTTATCAAGACCATGGGGACCTAAGACTGGTCCTATGATGAAATTCTAGATTTGGGTCGGGGTTAGGTTTAGTACTGAAGGGGAGTTATGTTTATGGCAAGGGGTCAGGGTTATGCTTTAGATATGACTAAATAGAAGTTAATGAAAGGTCCTAATAAGGATAGAAATACTAACTTGTGTGGATGTACTTGTTTCTGCTATAGTGAGGACCATAAAATGTTTTTAACCGACAAAGTGAGGTAATTTTTGGGAAGTAAGGACGTTTTCTTGGTTCTTATATTTTTGCAACTCTACTGAGCTCTACTAGCGGTACGGTGTGAATTAATCAAAAAGAAAAAATAAGTAGGTCCTCTGGATGGGTTCTTCTTTAGTGAAACGTTTAATCTCTCCTCCAATAGACTTCTTCAGTCTGATGAGTTTCAGGTGAACTCAGCCTTATAAGCACTGCCTCCACATGGACAAACAGGTTAGTCACATGCAAAAGAGGGTCATCGCCTAACAATAGGCTTGATTAGCTCTATTGTTCATAGAGGGTCATGTGCCCCATCACCTGACTTATTGGTTTGGAAAGGAGTGTGTGCATTATAAGTTTAGGTTCAGGTTAGGGTAAGGAACAGACAAGTAATGGTTAGGGTTGGGGAAAATGTCTGGGTTAGGCATAAACACAGTTACAAAAATGAATGGGAGTCAATACAAAGTCCTCAGTTTGATGCAAGTTTTTGCTACATCGTGGGGACCATTTTCCAGAAAAGCGCAGCCTCATCGGGACAGAACGATCCTCGTGGGGACCAAAGTCTGGTCCCCACGGGTATGTGCTAATTTTGTGTGGGAGGTTTGGTTTAGGACCAATAGAGTTTAGGCTAGGTTTAGGGTTAGGTTAACCTGTGAGGGTAGTTTTAGGGTAAAGGGTAAGGGTTAGGCTATATAGTCCCCATGGGAATATAGTAACAAACCTGTGTGTGTGTGTGTGTGTGTGTGTGTGTGTGTGTGTGTGTGTGTGTGTGTGTG